CACCCCTCCTGGAGACTTTGCTACAGCACACGCCTCGCCCCCGGGTCAGCGGGCCTGGGTGGGCCCATGAATTGCAGCTCTAGGGGCTCCAGTGGGGCCCGAGGGCCGGGAACTCCACTCAGACTCCTGAGCTACAGGGAGTGACACCCACAGCGGGTCCGCCTGAACTTTGAGACCTTCCGGTCCTTCCACGCCCCGCACACAGTGTCCAGCCCTCCCCCTGGGTGGCCCTGGGCCTATGTTACAGAAGCACAGTCTTTTACGGACCTTGAGGCCTGATGTTACCGTCGGGGCTTGGAGGAATTCAGACAAACCCCATCCAGGGCTCTCCCCCATTTCGAAATTGCCCATATGGCGCCCACCGCACACATGCCCTCTGCCCCGCACTCCTCTGCCTGATGGCTGTAGGGGACGTGTAGCAGACCCCAACCGAAATAAGGGGGTCTGCTTGGACAAGGGTGAGGTAGAGGGGCCGTGTGGCAGGGCCAGGGCTGGGTCCCAGTGCTGGTGGTGCCCCAGGGCACAGCCAGGCTGGTGCTGGGGGCAGAGAGATTGGACTCAGGAGCGGATGTGGTTCCAGCCCTCGACTGGGTCACATTTTGGGCATCTCCAGGACCGCATCTTGGCCCCACAGAGAGGTGTGTAGCTGGGCAGGACCAAGTCCTCACTGGGCCCATGGGCCACAGAAGTGAAGAACCAGGCTGGCATCAGGAAGCCCCCAGGGAACCCGTGTGGGGCCTGGACGAGGGCAGCCAGGGGCAGCTAAGCGCCATCTGCCGCCTTGCCCTTGAGGGAGGGATGGAAGGGGGCCCGAGCTCCAGCCTCTCACCCAGCAGACAGGAGACCCTTCCTCCTGACAAGTCTCCAGACAGAAGACAATGGCTGGAGACCCAGAGGCTGCATGGGGCAGGGGCGGCTGAGGTCGCTCTGGACACCTTTGCAGGTTCCTGCCCGGGGACTTCTGCTTCCACATGCAGTCACATGCTTCCACATGCAGTCACACGCTTCCACACACAGTCACACACTTCCACATGCAGTCACATGCTTACACACAGTCACATGCTTCCACTGCAGTCACATGCACACATATGAAGTCATGTGCTTCCACACACAGTCACATGTTACACACACAGTGACACTCTTCCACATGCAATCACATCCTTACACACGCAGTCACACTCTTACACACAGTCACACCCTTACTAAACACACAGTCACATGCTTTCACACGCTCACACACGCAGTCACACACTTCCACACACAGTCACATGTTTTCACACAGGTGCACACAGATGCTCACGTGCACACACTCGTGGCTGCCCTTCCCTGCCAGCCTCTGCACGTTGCCTCTTTCCTGCCCAGTGGGGCCTGCGGGCCTCATGGCTTCTCCTTAAAATCATGCCACACGGTGAAGCAGGGAGTGCAGCCAGACAGATGCCAACTCTGAAAAATCCCCTCCACTTCCTCTGGCCAAGAATCTAGGTGAAATCTGCCTGTCCCTGCCACAGAGCTGCCCGGAGCGCAGGCTTCAGGGAAGGGGTCATCATGTTGATAATCACCTGCCGAGGGCACTGCTCATGTGGCCAGGGCCAGCCCCAGCTGGGCGACGGCAAGGGACCCCCTGTGGGCTGTTGGGATCCTGTCCTCACTGGCTGAGCACCGTGGTCCTGATCTGTGGCCTCTTCTCTCTCTCTCCAGACCCGAAAACCCTGGCCACAGCTTTGCGCTGTAGACATGGCACTCTTGGGAGATGGTGGGGGTAGCCTCTGTTCTGGGCTGATTTCCTAGGCTGGATGAGGGGAGCAGAAGACTCTCACTGTGAGGCTGAAAGACTCAGCCCTAAACCAAGGATCACGGTGGAGCCCCGGGGGCAGCGTGAAGGCTGAGGTCACCGTGGACTCCCAGCCGGCTCGGTGTCTGTCCCAGCCCAGGAGAGCAACAGGGTTTCGTCACCTCCCTGACTTGTATTATGAGATCAAATGACGATAGCCCCTGCATGTCTGTGACAGACTCAAAGCAGGGCCTCTCCGTGAAGACCCCTGAGAACACAATGGCTGCAACTGGCAGCTCGGCAGGGGCTTCACGGGCAGACAGGCACAGCCTTGCCCCCGATGCAGGGTCGCTCAGCTCCTGGCCAGCCAAGTCGGCCTCTCTCCCCTCCTGAACTCCCTACACCCCATTCCCCTCCCTGCTTTCATCATTCTGTAGGTCTCCCCATAGAAATTCTAGGAATGATGGCCTTGGGACCCTGGAACGAGACCACGGCAAAATCCAGATAAAGGATGTCAGGTCTCCGGGTGAGCTGTCGCCTGCCGTGACCTAGCCTGTACCTCCTGGCCCTGCACGCTGACCTGCGAGAGTGCCGGCCAGGAAGGCGTGCCCCTGTCATGGAGGCCTCAGTGGTCGGGGTCTGGGGACCTCAGTGAAGAGATGCCTACATCCAGAACAAGCCTGTCGAGCGGGGCAGAGGGCTGGGCAGGCTCCTGACCTGGGCCGACCCTCTCATGGGGCATCCTGGCTGGAGCCCGGGGCTGAGGAGGGCTGAGCCTGATCTCTGGTCTTTGGCTGCCCCGGGGACCTCGGAGAGGGAGCGATGTGTGTCTGGCCCCGCCGAGGCCTCCCCGCAGGCTGCCTGCCTCCTCTGGGCTTTCCAGATAGTTCTCTGCACCTCATTTTCTCAAAATGTTTTCTGTGCACTAATTACCCTCCTCTCTTCACCCACCCTCGAAAGAAGAGCTCCCTCTCCCCCAGCAACAGGGACAGCAAAATGAGACGGGTTTTTCCTGGAGGCTGTGGGCAATCGCTTAACCCCTGTGACTGACGGGGACGGGAGGCCGGGGGGCCCGAGGCACAGACCTGCCTTTAATCAGCAGGAAACACTACCTTTCGCTCCTAAGCTGTTTGCTTGGCTAGTAAATTAAACATGCCCCGAAAGCGTTGATTTTCCTCCGGTAGGTCCGGGTTTTGGGAAGTAGAATTCAAACAGCCAAAGTCATGTTTTGAACGGAGCCCTGTCACGGACACGCACTTGACGGGGACGCTGCCCCTCTCTGCGCCCGCAGAACTCCAGAGACACCTGGGGCTCTAATTCCTACTTGGCCTTCGGGCGGGAGCGCCCACGCCGGAAAGGAGTCGCGGAGTGAGTGCGCGGGGAGCTCTGGCTCCCAAACCCGACTTTGTTTGCAAGCTCCCAGCTCCGAGCACTTACCAGTTCCAAATAATAAGATGGCATGTTAATTACCCCCCCTCTAATTTACCTTCGTGCTGCACACAGCCCGTGGGGGGCATGGGGTGTTCTTTCAAAGCTAAACAACTTCAGGTCTTTAGGGCGGAGGAGCTCTGTGGCTGCGCCTCTGAAAGCATCCACCTCGGCAATTAGAAAGGACCCGTTGGACACTTAAAACACAGTAATTACTTCTCTGAATGCTGATAAATTAAATAAGTGTTTTCCTCTCAACTTTTCCCCCCAAGACCTTGGTTTCTTTTGAAAGAAAACATTTTGTGACTCCTTGTGCTGATATGTTTATAACCAGTGTGAGGAATCTGAAGTCATTTTTCCTGCACTTAAAAGTTCTGTTTTCCCGAGAGGCTCCGGTCTCCCCAGCCAACGTCGGGGTGCGGGGCAGGGGCCGAGGGGCGAGGGCCAGCGGGACCGGGGCCCAGTCGTTTTCATGGGTCTCCGAGGCAGCCACAGAAGGAGGGACTGGCATGGAAAGATCTAGAGCAGGTCAGAGTGACCTGCTCACCCACCTCCTGCCCCTTCCTGCTGCTCCCCGCCTCACCCTTGCACCTGTCTTATTTATGCTATGGAGGCGCAATTCAGCTGCTGTGAAGGGGGTGATTTAGCGTCACCAAGCTGTTCACCAAGCCGGGCAATGCCCCTCTCTCGAGTTTCCAGACACCTCAGCACCCCAAAAGGAGACCTGGGTCGCCCGCCCTCCCCCACCCCAGCCCCCAAAGCCTCCCATCTTCGTCTGTCTCTGGGGGCCTGTGCTGGCGGGGTGGTCTAAATGCCGCCGGGCAGGTGTGAGCCTCTGCATCAGCTTCCTGCGTGGAGTGCTGCCTGTCAGGGCCGCCTTCTTCCTTGGGGAGGGGGTATCATCCGCTCATCTGTTCCCTCATTCTCCGCAGACGGACCTTTGGGCTGTTTCTGCCTCCTGGCGACTGTGAATCTGCCCCTGTGAACATTGGAGTGGCCTTGGGGACTCTTTCCGGCCCTCCCCATCTCCCCCCCCCGTGCCTCAGGTTGCCCTGTGGTAGAGTTTCAGGCGACACATACACACATACCGTCTTGGCACCCGCCCTCTCTTAGGACGGACCCCAAAGGCCCACCCCAGACAGACAAGCTGGGCACCCTGTGATGCTCAGTCAGGGCCCCATGACTCCGATATCCGGGACCTCAGCAGGCCTGTTCCCAGCCTGCGTGGAGATCATCAGGAACTTCCCCAAGCCCCAGTGGATGTCCAGGGGGGCCTAAGTGCAGGGCAGCAGCTCTGAGCACATTTCACGGCCACCCAGATTCAGACTCCTCTCAGGGACTTAGGACTTCTGCTGTCCCTGATTTCCAGGAGGAAGTTCAGAATGTTCTGGAGCAAGTATTTCACCATCAGCCAGCCCTGGGTGAGCCACCACGTGTGACGGCTTCCCCAGCTGTCCCCAAGCTTGTGAGGCAGGCAGTTCCCCTAGGGCAGGTCCAGCCGGCGTGTCCTCAGGTGGCTGCGGTGGGGTAGACAGGGTGCACTGGGCCAGGCCACCCCATCAGAAACATTGGCCCCAAGGGAGCCTGGGAGGATCCCGTCCTCTGGAGCCTCTGCCATCAAGTGATGGCGGCTTGGCTCAGGGTGGAGCGGAAGTGGCGTCTCCCAGGCAGGGGTGGCAGCCAGGCCTTCTGGGCCCCTGAGCACTCTTGGTCCCTGCTGGCGCCCGGGTCCCCAGCGCTCCCTGAGCCATACACATGGGTGGGGCGTGTGCTGCAGAGGTTCACGCTTCGTTGTCTCCTTTAGGTGACGGTGACGTTGTAAATAATATGTATGAGCCTGACCGGGACCTGCTGGCCGGCCACAGCGCGGAAGACGAGGCCGAGGACAGCGCCATGTCACCCATCCCCGTGGGGCCGCCGTCCCCCTTCCCCACCAGCGAGGACTTCACCCCAAAGGAGGGCTCGCCCTACGAGGCCCCGGTCTACATTCCTGAAGACATTCCGATCCCACCAGACTTCGAGCTTCGAGAGTCCTCCATCCCGGGGGCCGGCCTGGGGGTCTGGGCCAAGAGGAAGATGGAAGCCGGGGAGAGGCTGGGGCCCTGCGTGGTGGCGCCCCGGGCAGCCGAGGCGAAGGAGACAGACTTCAGATGGGAGGTGAGTGATCGCGCCTGAGAATGATTGATCACAGCCATTTATCTTGCGTTCAATCTATTTATAAAGCCGGGCTGAGCCGCCGCTGCCCGAGGCGGGAGAGAGCGTTCGCATGTCACATTTCCCAGGCCCGTTTTATCCCGAAGCTCCATGACGCGACTCAGAAAGCATCAGCGGTCCTCGTGGGCGCCCATCAGCCCTGCAGGCCACGCCCACTCTCTCCCGGAAATGTGTCTTTCATGAGCTCATGTCTTAAAACATCCCCTGCTTCCCGAGGGTCCTCGCTGCCATCATGGAGGGGAAGGGAGATTAATTGAATGTCCGAGAACAGGCGGCCGCCCTTGGGGGCTTCCTTGCAGGCAGAGCAGGGTGGGGCAGTTCACAGATCACACCTGGTGGCCGCGCTGCCCCAGACGCTGCCTCCCCGCCTGCCCTGGTCAGCCAGTGGCCTAAGAGCACCCCAGCTTCTCCAGTCCCGGGGCACAGGCCTCGTCCTGCCAGGAGGGACGGCTGGCTGTTTAAATTTTCCCACCACGGCGTGACCGGCCTTGCCGGTCTGAGGCTGGCCTGGTGGACCTGCTGCAAGGGTCAGGAGAGAGGGCGTCCCTGGGACGGCTCCGCGCGGGGAACACCCAGAGCATGCTGCCCGGCTGTGAGGGACACTAGGCCCGTGTTGGGGGCCTTGATGGTCCCACGGGGCTGAGAGCCCCCTCCCCGCCCCCGACAAAGTGCACTTCCTGGCGGGTCCCGGCCTCTCTGCTGGCTCTATGCAGCCAGTTGCTGGCGGTGTTTTAGGCAGGGCTCTGGCCTGGGCAGAAGGTGGGAACAGTGATTGGACTTTCCCCTGTGCCTCCCAGCCTCCAAAGTGCCCTGAGGGAGGTGGAGTCCTTGTGGGCAAATTGCCCAAGCAGAGCAGAGGACCCCGAGACGGGTGGGGGCAGCAGGGTCCTGGGTCTGGCCCACCTCCCATCCTGGCCGCTCTTGGCTCTGGAGACGTGCCCAGCCAGCTCCGTGCCACACTCTCTGGTCTGCCCAGCTCAGATCAGCCCTGGGGAGGCTCCTGTGGCCCCCGGAAGCCCTGGAACACCTCCCCGGAGGTGGCGGCACTAAGGGCCATTTGTAAGGAGACTGACGGCCTGGGGGCCAGTGGCTGCCTGTACTCTGCAGAGCTGAGGGCATCCTCCCTGGGCAAGAAGACCAGGGCACCTCGGCAGCTCCCAGCAGGCAGATATGGTCCTTAGTAGCTCACAGAGTCCCACGTGGCTCCTTGCCACAGACACAAGGGGACTCAGGAACTGTTCTCTGAGTGTCAGCTTGAAGCGCCCCTGCCCTTTACAGAACTGTGGGGGTCCCGGTGCCTGAAGAATGCTCGTGGCAGAATCCGAGGCTGCCCAGTTAGTGGGAGCTGTGGCTTTACAGGGGGCACCTGTGGACCGGGCACATCCCCCCCCCTCAAAAGGCAGAGGACAGTGTGTGGCCCAAGGTCGGGTCACCTTCAGGAGTGACTGGCCAGGAGCCAGGGGGCCCGGTGAGACAGGAAGGGGAGAGTTTGGAGTCGATGCCTCAGCGGAGATGTGCCCGGCCCCACGGCTCTACGGGCCCCTCACGGGACCGAGGAGAGCATTTTTCCAGCAACACGGGTCTTTGGCTGCGCAATGGAAGTGGCTTTGGCAGACGCGGCCTGTTGCACCCTGCCCTGCCTGGCGTGCGGGAGAGGAATTCAAGGGTGTTTGCCCGTCACACTTAGAAAGGCCGGGACTGTTTAACTAGGGGGTGGCTTGTGGATGTGAGAGGGCCAGGGCCCTGCAGGAGCACTTCGGGTGACCTTCAGGTGACTTTGTTCTCGCCTACTCTGTTACAAGTTTCTGTTTGCTTTTTGTAAAAGAAATGGCCCGTATCACGGGGTCTGCACGGTGCCAGGCCCAGCGCGGGCTGTGGGGCTGCCTGTTGACTCTGCGGTGTGTTTGTCCTGGGTGTGTGTACGTGGGGGAACACGCTCTCGCCACGGAGCGCCTGCTGTTTCTGCCGAGGCCTTTGTTCCACGGTGGAGACCTGACACCTACCTTTCCTGCCGGCGCCTAAAATTCTTTACTCCCCGCCCCCGACACCCCCCGACGGGGCTCCCTCCGTGCCCGGCAGGGGCTCTGCCACCTTGTTTTCCTTGCGAGTCCGGCGCCAACTCCCTTCCATCAGATGGGGCGGGGCGGCCCTGTGCGTCGGTGCCTTCGGGAGCTGACCTCGGAACAGGGCAGGAAGCCACCACCTCCGGGTGAAGGAGTGAGAGGAGGAAGCGGGTCCGGAATTAGGCCGCACCCGGGTCTGCCCAAAATGAGCGATGCCCGTCATTCAAGGGGGGTTCTCCCCGCCTCCAGCCATCTCACTTGGGGCCCTTGGGCAGGAAAGTGACGTCTTCCCCTTGAGCGGCCTCCCGAATTTTCCACGTGTCCCAAAAGAGCTAACCGCCATTTCCCTTTGGCTTGTGCCTTCCCCGAGGCGGGCCTGGGGCAGGGAGTCGCAGGTGCCCCTTTCTCTGTGGGCTTCCTCCTTTCACCGACCGCCCGGCCCGTCTCTGAGTGCTGTGGACAGGGGCCTGCGATGGGATGGGAAACCAGGCTTCCGGGCTGGGATCCCCCTGTAGTTCCAGGCAGGAGAGGGACCTTCTGCTAAGTCCCCTTCCCAGGCCACTCGAACCAGCAAGGCGGCTCTGCTGGCCCTTCCCTCCGCACTCCTGCAGGGCAGGCCCGGGACAGAGAAAAACACGGGTGCCAGCGTTACACCAGTGGGATCCCGGTCAGGCCTGGAATGGCCCACGCTTGCGTGTTGTCCCCCCGTTTCATACGTACAATTGTTCACCTTCACACTGGTAACTCAGTGTGCTGGACCAGTGCTTTGATTTTACTGTGATCTCCACCGTATTCACTGACTGAAAAAGAACAAGTAATGACATTTTAGCCACGATGACAAAGGATGAGAAGGATCGGTGTCATTTGGCCTCCCCAGGTGGGGCCACTCTGAGCTCGGAAGCGGGGTTCCTCTGGCGCAGGGGGCTCTGGGAGTGGCGTGAGCGCAGGGACCTCACCAGGCGGTGGCCCCGCAGGCACAGGTGTGCTTCTCCCCAAGGACAGGTTTGAAACGAAAGTCACATGGATTATTCTTACTGTCACTTTGGGGCACCGTGGAAGTCCTTTTCTTTCTCCTCTGAGAATAAAGTTCTTGTTCTGGACAAATCAATTGACGTAAAATGAGAAGGTCCTGTTTCCTTTTCCCTTGTTACAGCAAGAGACACGGTGCCAGGTCACACTTGGTTTCGGACTGACTGGGGTGAGTCGGGGCTCTCCTTTCTCTGACGTGGGGCCGATGTGGACGACACCATGACCCCCTGGGGACAAGGGATGGGGCAGGCAGCGCGTGAGGCACCCATAAGCTTCGGGTTCAAGCTCGGGGGAGCTTTCCGTCCAAAAAACAGGAACGCGGTGGGGTTGGGAGCTGACTTTCCTCTGCCTCGGATGCTGGTTCGAAGCCCACACTCCTTCTACACGGAGGCTGATGCTGACCGGGGAAGGCCGCCCCTCCTCCCTCCCTCCCGTGTATTAGGAATAGTCGCTGACTAAACCCACTTTGTTCCTGGGTGCTGTGGGGAACCCCAGGATGTGCCCTGAGTCAGATGCCCCACCCCAACCCCGGGGCTCACTCTGTGCGTGGCTGTGCGTGTGCTCCGGGTGTGTGGAAACCCCCCTGGGCTTCATCTCAGGGAGGGGGATTTGTCGGGAAGGGCACCCAAAATTCCTGGCCCCCTCTATCTGGATGCAGCCAGGTTCGGTCTCTTCCCAAATCTCACACCCGCCTGCCTCCACTGAAGCCCGCCTGCCTGGAGTAGATCACCCCGTGAAGGCATTTCATCGCCCTGGGGTCTGCAAACACAGAGATTTTGTTGAGTAATCATGACATTTGTCATCGTGCTGTTTATTTTGCTAATTAAGAGGTAGCAGCCGGGTGACAGCCCCGAGGGAGGAGGCCGTGGGAGAGGCGCTGGGGAGGCCACCTGCCCCGGCCCAGCCTGTAGCTGTGTGGCCATGGCACCGAGGCCTCGGGGCCGGAGGGGCAGGATCATGCAGGACCCCAGGGAGGCATGGGGGACACTTTCCTCCCCGCATCGGCCACTGTCTCCCACCCAAGGTCTGTTTGTTTCTTTGTTGACTGTGTCTCCCCAGAAAGGCTCTCGACGGCATCATGGCCCCGCCCGTAATCAGAAGGCTGATGAGTAAGTGCGTCTGCCTCTGCTGAAGAGGCCAGGTGAAAAATGTTAATGTGAATTGACGGGGTTTCAATTATTTGAAGAATGTACTCAAGTGGACGACCTCACCCCCGGCGTTAGTTACTGAATATTAATGTGCATTTATTTGTTCAATCAACAAATGCACCGTGTCAGCCAGGGCCTGTGGGAAGCTCTGGGACCGCAGGGGAACCAGTCCAGAGGCCTTAGGCTGCACTGATTCTCCGGCACCACCACCACAGGACCCCCAGGCTGGTGTCTCCTGGGTCATCGGGGCCCACTGAGGGTCTCCGGCAGGGCCAGGACCTGCCAATCTCACCTGTAGACCAGGAGCTACACATCAGCCAGAGATGGGTGAGAGCAAGCCCAGCCGGCACTCTCAGAAGATGTCCACGTGCGTGATACAGAATTATTATCCAAAATGCCCAGCCTTTGTGAGGAAGCAAAGCCTCTTCTGTGCACGCAGGCCTGTCCACCTGCATGTGTTTAGGATAGGATGCTCTTCTCTTCCTGAGTGGGATACATGAGAAGCCCATTTGCAGGTCCATTTTGGTCCCAAGTGATAGGATGACGATGAAGGGGGTGGGAGCAGCCCAGCCAGGCATCTGGCTCCCTGGGACAGCAGGAGGGAGAGTGCTGTAGCACGTCAGTGTCTGACATCACAGCACAAACGTCCATGATGGGCTTTTAAAGGCACCATGAGGCCAGCATAAAAATGCACCGCCCAGAG